TGGACAGGGCTTGCTTGTTTGTTTTTAAAATAAAAAAGATTTATTTTTGGCAAATATAAAAGCCTTTTCACACCAAAAGTGAAATGAATAAGCCTCAGGCTGAAGAGAAAGTAAATTTACGTCCACACAGTAGAATGCAGAAGAAATTTCAACACACTTCAGAAATAAAAAAAGGCACTTATCTAAAGTAATTTTTGCTTATTAGTACGGTTGAACTGGATCATCGAAGGTCAGAAGCAAAGACATTGGTTAATAGAATGGGATTAAATACATAAAGGATATTTGTATTGTTTAACATTTAATTATTGCAGGTTTGCGTCATATTCTGAGTTGCATTATTTTTATTAATTTTGAGGAAAACTGAATCTGTTTTTTTTTTTGTTGTTGTTGTGAGTGAGATGAATTAATGCATATTCATATTTATTTTAGAACTACAGAAACATCTGATTTCTCGCAACATGGTGACAGGAGATCACTTACTTATTTGAAAAAGTAACTCAGATATTCTCTTGTAAATTAAAAAGTAATGCGTTACTTTACTAGTTACTTGAAAAAAGTAATCTGATTACGTAACTCGCGTTACTTGTAATGCGTTACCCCCAACACTGCTTATTTTCATCGTAAACATACGATGCAAGCACTATTAAATTAATAATTTAAATGTTAGTATATAGTAGTTAAAGACACTTAATATAAAGTAAATTATTAATAATATTAATAGGCTATAATTATTTATTATATTTTCATTAAAACAATCCGACAGTTATTCACTCATTTTAGTGCTGAGGTCAAATCGAGCTCACAGCTGATTGGTCCGTGATAGTGAATCGCAGTTCTCTTCGCGAGAAGTGTAGCTGAGGTGTTCGAAAAGAACAAAGGAGTATTGCATATGCCGTTGCATTTTTGGCAGAGCGCCGCAGCACTCAGTTTTGCAGAATGGCAGAGACATGCTGAGTCAGCATGCCCAATTCATTTCCTCACTGTAACCATGAGGGTGGAAGTAGTCTTCTAATTATACTCCGTTCATTAGTAGAAATGTTTGGCAGGGGAGTGGATTAATGATGAATACTGCTATTTTATTATCCAGATTTTCAGTCTAGACCTGGGAGGAGTCTCGACTGTTATACTAAATGGTTATGATGCCATTAAAGAGTGCCTGTATCACCAAAGTGAGGTTTTCGCAGACCGTCCATCCCTCCCTTTATTTCAGAAGATGACAAAAATGGGAGGTAAGTGGTTCCTTATAGAATATTTTATTTTAGAATGATTTCCCAGAATAGATCACTGCAGAATGAACTAGAGTAAAGGAATAGTTCACCCAAATATGAAAGTTCTGACATTATTTATTCCCCCTCATATCCTTCTAAACCTGTATGCTGTTATTGTTTCAATGGAATAATAAAAAAAGAAAGGAAAAGGAAAAAGAAAACAATACTATAAATGTCCATAAATAGTTATATAGTCCATTTAACTTATGCACTGTATTCCGAGTCTTCCGGAGCCACAGGATATGTTTGTGTGAAAAACAGAAAGAAATAACTCATTATTCACTGATAATGATAACAAAATGCAGCAGTTGAAGTTAAGCAGTGAATTCATTTTGATCTTTGCAGCACAAAACATTATATATGTACTGTGAGTTTTTTCTTTTTTTGAGCTTATAACAGTCATGGCTACTATTAAATTTTGTCTGGGAAAAATATTTTTAATTTTTAGTGTACTATGCCTTTAACCACCTGGGTGATTCAGAGAAAAGCCTCTGGTATGGTACTGTATGTCAGAGTTGGGGCAACAACTAGAGAAGAGCGGACAGTCACACATGAGGTTATCACATTATCAGTATCGCAATTCTTGTAATCTGTGTTTAACCCATGAGACTAGTTCTGTTTGACTGATAATCTCTGGTTAAACATACAAAAAAAGTTTATCATTAGATAAACTTTCTTTGTTTCCATATTTAAACCGACCTCTCTCAGCATTTTTTATTCTCTGTCTAGGCCTTCTGAACTGCAAATACGGTCAAAGCTGGATTGAACACAATAAACTGGCTGTGAACTGCTTCCGCTATTTTGGCAGTGGTCAGCGGATGTTTGAGAAGATTTCTGAGGAGTGCCTGTTTTTCCTCGATGCTATTGACCAGCATCAGGGGAAGCCCTTTAACCCTAAGCATCTTGTGACCAATGCCGTGTCCAACATCACCAACCTCATTATCTTTGGGCAACGTTTCACCTACGACGACAGCGATTTTCAGCACATGATTGAGATCTTCAGTGAGAATGTGGAGCTGGCAGCCAGTGGCTGGGCTTTCCTATACAACGCCTTCCCCTGGATGGAGTACGTGCCCTTCGGGAAGCACCAAAAGCTCTTCCGCAATGCCAACGAGGTCTACGACTTCCTTCTGCAAATCATAAAGCGCTTCTCACAAGATAGGGTACCCCAGTCGCCCCAACATTACATTGATGCCTACTTGGACGAAATGGAGCAGAGCGCCACCGATAAAGCTACATCTTTCTCTCAAGATAATCTCATTTTCTCAGTTGGAGAACTCATCATTGCAGGCACAGAGACTACCACAAATTGTCTGCGCTGGGCTATGCTCTACATAACTCTGTATCCCAGGATACAAGGTTGGTGCCCACAGAGCAATGGCTATTTTTTCTAATTTACAACATTTTTAATGTCGTTGCACTAATCACGTTATGTTTCTTTCCGTGCAGAAAAGGTCCAAATGGAGATCGATTGCATCCTGAATGGCAGACCATCTGCTCTTGAAGACAAGCAGGGGATGCCGTATGTGGAGGCAGTGCTGCATGAAGTCCTGCGCCTTTGCAATGTTGTCCCACTGGGCATCTTCCGCGCTACGTCTCAAGATGCGGTGGTGCGTGGCTACACTATCCCCAAGGGCACCATGGTCATCACTAACTTGTACTCAGTGCACTTTGATGAGAAGTACTGGAGCAACCCATCCATCTTCTGGCCAGAGCGGTTCCTTGGCTGTAATGGCAAATTTGTCCGGCATGAAGCATTTCTTCCTTTCTCAATAGGTAAACAGCAAATATTTGGGAAATCAGTACATCTAAAAGCTTTTCGTTGTTCAGATGTATGTGATTTCTATATGTTTGTCTTTAGGTAAGCGCCACTGTCTGGGAGAGCAGTTGGCTCGGCTGGAGATGTTCTTGTTCTTCACCACATTGCTCCAGAGGTTCCATCTTCAGTTCCCCGAAGGCTTTATTCCAAGTCTCTCTCCGAAACTAGGCATGACCCTTCAGCCTCGGCCGTACTCCATATGTGCCATCAGGAGACAGCAGTAAAAAATGCCCCTTGAGCTCTGGAACACGTGCACTCACCTCCTGCTAAGAAACGCAAACGAGAGCAGAGCAGTTCCCCGTCTTAAATTCCATCAGGTTTTCAGCGGGGAATACTGACCTCTGATATTGACTTGTTAAATTCTCAGAACGTGTCCTCCATAGTTTCACAGAACCCAGCCTGAGAGTGATAAGAGTACTGTTACAGAACACATGCTCTGGAGAGCAAAGAATGAGCATGTGTTACCAAACGAGAACGTACATGAGGGTATCAAGATAAATGTAGCATGTATCTTTCATAACTTGAACCAAAAAGTGTACGGTGTAGCAAATCTGAACGTTGTGCTTGTCAATATGAGAACAGCTATTGTGTCAATGATTGACAGGGTTTATCTCTATAACGGTTTGGAGGTCTGCCTTTTCCAGCATTCCTTGTATTCCCCCAGTTCTGGAGTCGGGCAAGTGAGAGGCAAACTGCTGCCTTTCCCAGAAAGTTTTGGAAATGCTTCATGACTCCCGTTGGTTTAATGCCATGTATCAGTTCTGCAAGAATAACGGCCCTGTCCCTACTTTATCTCAGTGGAAAGAGATTATCAAGAAACTTGAGCTGCAATATTTCGTGAAAAGCTGGACTCCAATATACACTTTATAGCACAATATTATTTGTACTTTCTTTTTAACAAGTTTTTTGCATGTTATGATTTAAAAAAAAAACTGACAAAATAAGCCTTTTTTTAATGCAAGCTGTGTTTAATACTGACCTCGCTTTCAACTGTGCTGGAATTTTCTGAAGCCAATTATACACCACATAAACCAAGCTGGAAAAGGAGCATATAGATAGAAACTTTAATATTTCCTGTGACTGATTGACTCATGTAATTCTATGATTTGGTCTGGCACATATCAGAAATGAATGGATTTCAATGACAAAGTGTTTGTTAATTGTGAACCTATGTAATATGTTGCTCTTTTTTAGTACATATATCTTATTTTCCTTCTGTTCTCACTGTAAAAAAACATTTACAGGTCAAAAAACAAAATTCAATTAAAAACGGAGTGACAGGTAGGGGCATTGTTGCTTTGGGTAAGCTGTCACAGAGATGCTGTCATCTGAAGAGATAAGGCTGGCCTTTCATACGACCTACACTTGGGGACTCATCATCTGCTGACTGTCATCTTACAGGCAGTTCCTCCCAGGAGAACACTTTGGCTTTCATCTGAGTACGAAGAAAAATAAGCAGCAACATGCAGCTCGATGATGCTCAGTAGCACACATTTAGATGATGTCAAAAATGTTGTCACATGGAGATAATAGCAAAGGGTGAAGACGTTCTACTTCTCTTAATAGGTGAAAGGTCATGTTCAATGCATGTGCATTCAGTGTGGTGGTGTGATTAAAACTACATATGTACCTGGATAATGTGGTTTGCACAAGTATTATGATTCTATTATTCCTCTTTGATCCCTAGCTGGCGCTTGGTTTGCATCGTTTCCTCAGACCGTACGCTGCTGTGGGTGCTAATGGTTGCTGGATTTCTTGATTCTACTATTAACAAGACCAGGGGCTTTCAAAGAGTTCGATGACAAGGACTCCCAAATATTTTGATCCCCTTGGGACCCCCTTCCAGAAATGTTAATCTATACAAAAAAAACCCTCTGTAAAAATTGTTTCCAAAATTAAATAACTGGTTTCTCTATTGTCATTTTACTGAAAGTAAATTGTTGAAATAGAAGTATTTTGAATGTATTGACAAGAGATACTCATTTTTTATAAATAAATATTTAATATGCTGTATACTTAAAAATTAAAAGCTTTCCTGATAAGTAGACAGAGTATCTTTTATTAAAGTCTTTTATGAAGTATCTTTTATTAATTTAAGTTTGTAGAAATTTAAGTTTAAAGTTTGTTGTTCCCATCATGCACTGGGGCATGAATAATTAATAAGGTTAAAATTTTCACTGTTTTCGAGTTCTATTTACACTGTTTTATGGTTGCTTTTGTTATGTTTAGTAACTTGGTGTTCTGGGACCTCTTGAGTTTTCTACTCAAAATGACCCATTCATACTCAAACACTATCCATTGATTGTTAGCGTCATTGTGTATTGGGAACCAAACATTGAGGCCTCTGTGTTCATTTGGGTAATAACTATATTGAGTAGACATATCTTAAAAAGGATAACAAGCTGTCTACTTGCTTATTTACATGTTTGTAAGTAAACCACATGCTTTGATAGCATGTTTTTTTCAGTGCACGTTTACAAAACGTTAAATGTACTTGAGTATTGCAGAGAAAACATAATAATTAAGTAGAAATTAAACTCTAACTGGCCACATTAAATTGACTTATTTCCTTTGCTAATTTTACTTAACTTAAGTAGATTTTACTTAATTCCATACTTAAATTTTACTTAAAAAATATGTGCAAAAACTTGCAAAATACATTTTTTTTTTCAGTGTAGTTTTGTGGGGGAAGAAAATATAAATTACATATACATAGTCAAATTCAAAAGTTTGGGGTCAGTACATTTTTAAAGAAATTAAAAGAACACTCCACTTTTTTTGAAAATAGGCTCATTTTCCAACTCCCCTAGAGTTAAACAGTTGAGTTTTACCGTTTTCGAATCCATTCAGCCGATCTCCGGGTCTGGCGGTAGCACTTTTAGCTGCAGCTTAGCATAGATCATTGAATCTGATTAGACCGTTAGCATCTCGCTCAAAAATGACCAAAGAGTTTCGATATTTTTCCTATTTAAAACTTGACACTTCTGTAGTTACATCGTGTAACTAAGACCAACGGAAAATAAAAAGTAGCAATTTTCTAGGCCGATATGACTAGGAACTATACTCTCAATCGGGTGTAATAATCAAGGAACTTTGCTGCCGTACATACTAGCCATATCGGCCTAGAAAATCGCAACTTTTCTTTTTCCGTCGGTCTTAGTACACAATGTAACTACAGAAGAGTCAAGTTTTAAATAGGAAAAATATCGAAACTCTTTGGTCATTTTTGAGCGAAATGCTAACGGTCTAATCAGATTCAATGATCTATGCTAAGCTGCAGCTAAAAGTGCTACCGCCAGACCCGGAGATCGGCTGAATGGATTCGAAAACGGTAAAACTCAACTGTTTAACTCTAGGGGAGTTGGAAAATGAGCCTATTTTCAAAAAAAGTGGAGTGTTCCTTTAATACAGCAAGGATTAAATTGATCAAAAGTGACTGTAAAGATATTTATAGTGTTTTTTTTTTAATAACGTTCATAAATAAATTCTATTCTATTGAACTCCCTATTCATCAAAGGATCCTGCCAAAAAAAAAAGCTTCATGGTTTCAACAAAAATATTAAGCAGCACAACTGTTTTGCACTGTGATAAAAAGAAATGTCTTGAGCGCCAAATCAGCATATTAGAATGATTTCTGTTGGATCATGTGACACTGAAGACTGGAGTAATGGCTGTTGAAAAACAGTTAATAAAGTGAATTTACAATAGATCACAATGTTACTGTTTGTTTCTGTATTTTTGGTCATTGATGGAGCCTTGGTGAACAAAAACATGCAGGTTTTTTCTTATTGTTTAAAACCTATAGTGCTGTCAATACATTTCTTTAATATATTAAGTGCAAACATTGACTTTGATGACCCTAAAATAAATTTCTCATAAAAAACTCCCTCTTCAGACACTAGTGTTTGAAAACCCCTGACTTAGAACAAGCAAGTACACATCCACTCCCATGCAAAACACAAAACACAAAACACAAAAAATGACACAGACAGACAAGTCAATTGAGAGAGAGAGTGAAACTATTGTTCAGGGATGGTGCTTTTATGACAGTTATAAATAATAGCAAAGAAGTCCATTTCCCCCCACAACCCTGAAAAGGCTGAATGGTTACATCAGACATTGCTATCTAAATGCTACATAAAAAGTGAACGCCATCATGAAGGTACTGATGACAGGAACATTGGAGGTTACTGTGGTGCCACCAACCCCCAAAAGTGAGATACCACAGTCAAGCAAGTGATCAGCACGAGGGAATGGGGTGCTGTGATGCTCTGATCCGCAGTCACCCTGCTTGGCATCCTGAATGATGTTCAGAGTGCGTGGGTTTGAGCCCATCCAGGGTGAGCTCAGTGAAGTGGATGGGGAGGGGGGACGAACTGAGCCACACTGGGGTCCCGGATCCAAGAAATGATGAACACACAGTCGGGACAGAAAAGAGAGAGAGAGAGAGAGAGAGAGAGAGAGAGAGAGAGAGAGAGAGAGAGAAGCACCACAAGCTGCTTTGGGTTCGCAAAAGCCCCCAACACAGAACACACCCTGAGCATAGACCAAAAAGTGACTAATGAACAAACCCACAAAGAGAGAAAGAGACAGGGAGGCATTCGGCATCACCGCCAGCTTTAGAAATAAGGGGCTTTCGGTAAAGAGTGGTTATGAGCAGGAACAAAAGACAGTGCACCCAAAAAAAAACAACTAACAAATTGAAAAACACAACACCCAAACATCCACATCTGTAAATAGCATTAGATTTAAAAAAATAAAAAAATAAAAAAAACTCCTGAAACAAGATGATAATTACATGGTCTCAATGTACAATATATGTCAGCTGTATGTAGAAAACAGATGCATTGTTGATTAATTAAAAAATATATAATATTATATATATATTTATATATGCAAGTATTCTTTCTATGCAGAGGTTAAACACTTGTTTGGTAGTAAAATGTGCACATTTACATTTTTTTTTACTCTTAAATATACTAGTTTGATTTACATTGCCTACTTGAGAACTTTCCTCTACAGAGACAAAATGAGTTTTTGTTGAGGTGAAGCAGACCGAGAGAGAAAGAGACCCGGGTTCATCTCCACCTCCCCGTCCTCCCCTCATTATTCTAGTGGAATGCCTAGAGTTCTTGCTTCAGACAAAAAAAAACTATTAGTATTAAACCTGCCTTATGGTGAAGAATAAGAAAATGCGAAGGAAAATAAAAGTACAGCTTTCAAGGTGAAACCCTGGATTACTTGAAAATTATCTGGCCAGATTTTGCGTTTGGCAATCATTTAAGCACAAGCATGTTCAAATAATGCCAAACGTGAAGTTGCCCCAAAGCAATGTTTTGTCTATGACATGCATGCTAACTCAAACATTTAGTTTTCAGTAACATCCCTGGGTCCCAATTCTTATCAGGGGGTCTTTGAAAAAAATAAGCATGGATATACCAGTCTGGAGCAGCTGATAAGAACTGGAGTTAATATCTAGGACACTGCACTTTAGGGGAGCATCTCTTTTTGTTAGCGACTTTCAAGTTATTCATACAAAAAATAGAAACTTTTTTTCTGTCCCACCTCTGAAAAGAACGTTCGACATGCAAGTTGAAACTGCAGACTTAAATTTTCGCAAAAAACAAGGATCGAAAAAAAGAAAAACAATCTTACAAACAACAAAGGCAAACAAAAAACTGCAAGAAGGTGGTCAACATGAATAAAAAAAGCATCCAAAACGATGCAGAAGTCAGGTCATTTTTCAATCAAAATGTCAGCATTTCCACTTGTCCTAATGACTCTGTTTAGTAATACAGTGTTTTATGTCGCCAGCATGAATTGGGGACTGCACATACAGTGCAGCGTGCATAGCCCATTTTCTGGACCACAAGAAAAATAAAAACAAACAATATTTTATATATATATATTTTTTTTTTTAAAGTTCAGACAGGCACATTTTGACACTGAGCCTGAAACGGCTTCAGTCGTAGTCTTTCTATGTTTTTGAACTGTTCGCTTTGGTAACGGGTGTCAATTGCGTCATTGTCTTTTTTGTGTCCTTTTGGACTTAAGTACCTACGGGAGAGTTAAGAGCTCTACGTTCAAGGCAGCATCACAGCCAGAGAACCATGGATGGCACGATTCTCCCTTGCCTGTGTTCTTGTTTTAATCTCACAACACGGTTCTGCATCTTCAAAGCTCCGTTCGCTCTCTGCTGCTTCTCCATGGGGTGAAAGTGCATAGAAGTGGGGTTCCCACCAAAGGGTCCTCTCACAGTAGTAAGGCCTTTTTCAACACAATGTGAACTGCATTAGCTTCAGAGTGTCGGCACAGTGACAAATTTCAGCGCGGGGAGATCCGCTAGGGTCTTCCTCTAGGTGTCAATGTGTGTGTTTGTGTAGGTGAAGGAGAGGGAGGGGTCATTCACCTCTGTTTAAGCCCTTCAGTGAGCTTCATTTCTTGATCTTCTCCTCTTGCTACTGCCGTTCCTCCTCCTCGGCCTCCTCTTGAATGACCTGGATGTCATCGGAGGAGGAGGTGGACGGAGGAAGGCTGGGGCTCTCGGATTGCTGCTGCTGCTGAGTCTCCAGCTCTTTGGCCTTCTCCTCTTCTTCGATGGTCTTCTTCCACACCTTGTGGTTCTCTGTTAAGTGCTGCATGATGCTGCAGAATAGCCGACGTTGACCCTTCCTCCTCTCTGTAAGGAAAACTACTCGATTAGTGTGTGCGACACCTAACGTACGGTAAGTACTAAATAAAAATCTCCCTTTTTACGGATTCTGAAACTTATGAGCACAACTGTATATTCATACTTGGTTCAAGATCCTCGTCCAGCTCCTCATCTTCCGTTTCAAAGTCTTCCGTCTCTTCTTCATCGTCTGATCCCTCCTCATCAATCCAGTATCCTGGCAGCAGGCCGGCAGCATCATAGGAGTTACAAAGAGGCCCGACAATGTGTGTGATAAAAGACTCCTGCAGCTTTGCTAACTGTGGTGCTGAGCGATCCATGAAAGGACTGATGGGTAATCCTAGAGTGGCTTCTTCATCACCCTATGAAGGCAGAAATGCAAAAATGCACAAATGTTGATCTCATTTGTGTACGTGTATGTTGTGTGCGTATTGTGAAGTGAATAGGACATACCTGCTCATAAAACTCATTTACGATACCCTCTGTCCATTTGAGGTGAAGGCTGCGGTCTTTGGCTGGCCCATTAATATCTGCCAGCTTAATGCACACTTGGCACACTAACAACCTGTCATTTTCATTAGTCCAGTCGATGCCTGGACTATTCACATCATTAACCTGTAAAAAAAAAAAAAAAAGATCAATCAGAGGATTAACAGCAGTAGGTAGAGAAAATAAGTGTTGAATTTATAAAAATTACCCCATTCAAAAGTTTACATAAGGTGCACTAAAAAATATTGGAAAAATGTTTTCACCAGTGTCAATCAGCAATAAGGGGCATGTCTAGTAATGATAGGAAGAAGAGAGCGCTCAGGTAGTCCACAGGACGGATATTAGCAGATCTACTATAGATAGCCATAGATGGCAGATAAAAAAAAAGAGGAAAATTTCAGAGGAACAAAACGATCAGGCAAGAGATAGGACCCGCGTAAATTTTGGAGCAGCTTTCCCACGGTGGAGAGAACTCAAGGAGCGGGAAGGCCTGGAATCAGACGCCGAGGTTGCTTTGTATCTTCTTGATAGGGGAGTTACGCTGATTTTGCTTTTTCACACAACTTTTCTGTGTTGGCTTTTGCTTGAATATGCTGTGGCCGGCAGGCATAGCAGATTCCGCCATCGTTGCTGCCAGGGTTGTGAACGTACGTGTGGGGCGGAGTTTTTTGTTGTTGTTGTTTTGTTTGTTTTGTGAAAGTTGTAAGCGAGTTCATTGTCCTGAACAGTTAAACTGCCTGCTGTTCTTCAGAAAAATTCTCCACAAATTCGCAGTGTTTTTGTGTATTTGTACATTTGTACAGCATTTTTGTTTACTCTTTCCAACAATGACTGTTTGATTTTGAGATCCATCTGTTCACACTGAGGACAACTGAGGGACTCATATGCAACTATTACAAAAGGTTCAAATGCTCACTGATGATCCAGAAGGAAAAACAATGCATTAAGAGCCAGGGGTGTAAACTTTTGTACAGAATGATGATGTGCACATTTTTCTTATTTCTTTTCATTTCGTACTGCACTTCAGAGCCTACAGAAGATACTTAATGTTTCCCAGAAGACAAAATAAGTTAAATTTACCTGATCTTCAAATTCAAAAAAGTTTTCACTTAATGTATCGTGTTTCGTTCTGGAGCATCAGTAAGCGTTTGAACATTCTGTAATAGTTGTGTATGAGTCCCTCAGTTGTCCTCAGTGTGAAACGATGGATCTCAAAATCATACAGTCATAGTTGGAAAGGGTTCAAAAACGCAAAAGATGCTGGAAAACCAAATAATTTTTGGGACCTGAAAGATTTTTCTGAAGAAGAGCAGGCAGTTTAACTGTCCAGTACAAACAAGGGAGTTATGAACAATTATCACAAAACAAACAAAAAAACAACAGTTGTGGATCATCCAGGTAACAACACAGTATTAAGAATCAAGTGTATGTAAACTTTTGAACAGGGTCATTTTTATAAATTCAACTATTATTTTCTCTTGTGGACTATATGTAAACGTCTTTTATGTGAAATATCTGATTCAGGTCAGTACTAAATAAAAAATAACATGCATTCTTTGGTGAGTATTTGAACCTTCTGTAATAGTTGCATATGAGTCCCTCAGTTGTCCTCAGTGTGAAACGATGGATCTCAAAATCATACAGTCATAGTTGGAAAGGGTTCAAAAACGCAAAAGATGCTGGAAAACCAAATAATTTTTGGGACCTGAAAGATTTTTCTGAAGAAGAGCAGGCAGTTTAACTGTCCAGTACAAACAAGGGAGTTATGAACAATTATCACAAAACAAACAAAAAAACAACAGTTGTGGATCATCCAGGTAACAACACAGTATTAAGAATCAAGTGTATATAAACTTTTGAATGGGGTAATTTTTATAAATTCAACCTCTTTTATGTGAAAGGTCAGTACTAAATAAAAAATAACATGCATTTTGTATGATCCCTCTTATTTTGGAAAAATAATTAACATTTTGCATAATTAACATATAATTACCATTATTTAGAATACATAAATACGTTTTTTAAATGTTTTTGAAAGAAGTCTCTTATGCTCACCAAGGTTGCGTTTATTTGATCAAAAATACATTGTGGAATATTATTACAATTTACAAATAATATTGTGAAATATTATTACAATTTAAAGAACTCTTTTCTATTTGAATATAAATTAAAATGTTATTTATTCCTGTGATGGCAAAGCTGAATTTTCAGAAGCCATTACTTCAGTCTTCAGTGTCACATGTTCATTCAGAAATGATTCTAATATACTGATTTGGTTCTCAAGAAAAATTTTGGTAGCACTTTATTTTACAGTACGTGTACTTCCCTGGTGTACTTTCCTGGTACATACATGGTAAATATCTTGTACCTACAAGCAAACGAGTGGTAGCACAAGGTACTTACCTGAAGTGTATGTACATGTAGAAACACGGCTGTACTTCACAATCGTACATGCATGGTAATTTGTTTGTACATCCAGACAAGTGTGGGTACTTACAGGTAGTGCCCGTACATGGTAACTAATTAGATACTTTACTGTACTTACTAATGTATATACATGGTAAATATGTAGTACTTAGGGACAAGTGGGTACAAACAGGCACGTCCTTACAGTATCCGTATATGGTAACTAATAAGACGCATTACTGTACATACTAATGATATGTACATGGTACATGTGTAGCACCTACGGAAAAATGTGGTATTATGTGTTAACAAACAAGACACATACTGTACTTGGTATATACGGTACGCTTGGTAAGTCCTAACCTTACCTAACAAAAAGAGGACTATTTTTTAATTGCTTGTGTAGGACTGTTAATGCTAAATTGCTCTCCACAACAGTGCTTACAAAGTTTGAAGAACTGGTAATTCCTGTGTAATGTTTGAGTAAAATGGTGCACTTTATTTTACAGTCCAATTTCCATATACTTCATATGTACGTACTGGTGTATGTACCTATTAGTTAATGTACAGAATAAGTTATGCGGTACTCAAGTTGGGGGGGTATAAACATGGACTAAGGTGGAAAGTAAACTGCAATGTCACCTACCATCAATTACTCGATAAGTACCTTGGTCTATGCTTATACCCCCCAACTTGAGTACCGCATAACTTATTCTGTACATTAACTAATAGGTACATAGTACATTAGTATGACTGTACGTAGTAAGTATATGTAAATAGGACTGTAAAATAAAGTGCACCATTTCATATAAACATTACACAGGAATTACCAGTTCTTCAAACTTTGTTAAACTTTACCATGTATAGACCATTAGTAAGTATAGTAATGTGTCTTATTAGTTACCATATACTGACACTACCTGATAGTGACCGTTATTACTCACACTTGTTGGTAAGTACTACATATTTAGTTACCACATAATACCACATTTTTCTGTAGGTGCTACACATTTACCATGTACATATCATTAGTATGTAAAGCAGGGCTGTACAGTACATATACTGTATGTCGCACGTGCTACGAAAAAACTGGTCTGTGCGATGAATACATTTTCCACTGTAGCACACGTGCGATACAGTTTTGCATGTTCATAACACAGCTGCTTAATAGTGTTAAGGGGGGGGGGCTTATCTGTATATACAAAATAATTACCATGCATGTACAACTGTTAAGTACAGCCGTGTTTCTTATTTGTTACCATGTACATACACTTCAGGTAAGTACCTTGTGTTACCACTCTTTTGCCTGTAGGTACAAGATATTTGCCATGTATGTACCAGGGAAGTACACGTACTGTAAAATAAAGTGCTACCAAAATTTCTTATTATCAATGTTAAGTTTCCGTTGCTTAATATTAAGATTTAAAGGGTTAGTTCACCCAAAAATGAAAATTAGACTGTGTTTTACTCACCCGCGGGACATCCTTGG